CGAAGCCCGCTCAAGAGCAAGCTCAAACTCAATAGACGCATCCTCGAACACCTGATTTGCCGAGACCTGCACTTCCTCCACTGCATCACATCCGCCGCACCGTCTTCCTCAAAGGAAGGATTTGCCTTGAACTGCAGCTCTGCATCCCGTCCAGCCGGAAGCCCCCCAGGTGTCCCACGGTTAGCCTCACGACCCGCCTTTGGGTCCAGCACCTCCCGCACGAGCAGCCCTGAGGCCACCTGCAGCTAACTCGCCCCCGGGCTTGGTCCCCTTGGAATTTCCCGAAACCTCATCAACAGCAGCCTTGCCACCCGACGGCCCCTTCCCGCTAGCTTTGCCTCCTCCCGCCTTGGGCGGAGACTGCACCTCCACATACTTCTTGCCGCCGCGGGATCCAACACCCGACCGCTGCCTATCCCTATCACCACCACCGCCAGATCCTTCACCACCACCCCCACCGGAGCGGGGAGGAGACCGCCTGTCTCCCCCCGCCATACCCAGACCTTCTCACACTAAAACACTCTAGTGAGAGAAACACTAGGAAAGAAATGAAGAACCTTCAAAAGTTTTTGGGTTCCTTGAAAGTTGCATTTCCATTGATTAAGTAAAAGAAAAGTACATAACAAGTATGGAAAAACTATCTGCCTTCCCAAGGCAAAAAACAAAAGTGGGAAGGTCTAAAGCTATGAAAAAAACCATACAAGTATGATAGACAAAAAGAAAAGCAACTAAAGCAAGGATAAGCCCCTTTGATTCGCAAGGAGGCCCACCCCAAAGCCATGCCCTCGGAGATCTAGTAGTGCTTAAAGAACAACTCCAGCGGGGGGAGATACCTATGAAAAGGGTTAACACGCCCGGAGGCGGAAAGATATCCCATTGCGCCGGCAGCCGGATAAGCACTACCTTCACCCTAAGGCATGAAAAAGGGGTAGGTCTCATTGCTCCTCAAAGGGGACAAAGTCCCCGCCAATGTCATCTTGTAGATTCTTCCTCCTCTTGCGGGGGAGGGTGGATATCGGTCCCAACTGCAGCAGCTGCTTCTCCATGTAAGCCTTGGAAGCCTTATGTTGTCGTTTGGTAAGATTAACCTCCAAGGAGGAGGGGTCGGGTGTCACACGTTCAGCACTGAAAACAATTTTGTGGTCCTTCACATGGTGGCTGTTTGGGCTGACAATCCACTCTGAAATGGATTCCATACGCTTGAGCTGCTCCCTAGATGCTTGAACTGGATGTCTGGTCTCGGTCTGCTACACTGGTTCCGTCAGTTGCTGCACAATGGCTTGTTTCTTCTTGTCGTTCCGCTTGCGGGTAACCAGGTTCCAAGCCCCATAGGAGTTGTCATCCGATTCCCCTTGGCTAGGGGAGTCGTCCCTTGAGCATTTGAGCTAGAGGAGTGGCCAGTCCCAAGGTGGCCCTCGGG